CAGTTGGTCAAAAGCTTTTCTGAATGAATCCTTGAAGTTTTTTTAAACTGGTGGCGGTCATATAGCAGATCGATGTTCCATTTTGTATGGAGGTAACTCTGTCTTTTGCAATCGTTTCACCTTCATTTTTGGTTCAGTAAAAATAGTAGCTGCTTAATTTCCTTCCTATTGCGCAGTTATCACGCACCTATAGGCCCCCTGATGTGCTTCACCCCTTTGTCTCACTTTAACGACAAATGCAGTTGTGTGGAGAGACTGTAGCCATTTGGCCGCCATACGAGGGACTCCTACCAGCTTCTCTAAACCAGAACTAATGCATATAGGGCGGACCCGACGAAGACGGGCCACGGAATATGAGTTGATGGGTCACTTGCCTAGTCAATAGTGTTAGTTAAATAGACGTTGTTGCGTTGGAATCGCTAGGTTCGGCTCCTGATTTGTAAACAGAAGAAAATTAGGTTGAATACGTACTTTTGGAAACGGTGGTTTATTGGATGAATTTTCTACACTGGCTCACCAGGTCGTCGCCAGACGGATAGGAATTGTAAGAAACAGTTGATGGTGACACGGTGAAAATAAAAGGATATCTAAGAGCTGTAAATCGGACCTGACTTTATATTTATAACATACTTCTCATTGCTGCTGTTATGCAGTTTATTACACGCAGCTATGATTAGAAAATTTGTTTTTATCTTTTCACAGCGCCAAGTTTGTAATGAAAGGCTCAATTGGGCCTTAAATATACAATTTATTTATTCTTAGTGGTCTTCCATTATTAAGATATAATCCTCTTACATTGAACAGGACTAGAGGGGGTCACGTGAGTTTAAGTTATATATACTGTCAAGATTAGAAGAAAATTTTTCCAAAATTTTTCCAGTAGTTTACTCCTTGCAGGAGTAACACACTGAAGAAAAGCAGGAACCAACACAGTTCTGTCCCTTCTCCTGTATCTAGCTGACCAAGAGAACTGGTTGCTTGCGAACATTTCAGCAGCAATTATGCATTTACAGATCTTAAAATTTCACTAATGCTACTTAAGGCTTCATTAGAAAAAATAAGGAACGTCTAGTGGTCTTCTAATTCACAATCTCAGAACCCGTCCCAGTAAACCTTGGTTACCTGAATGCAGAGAATCGAGAGGAAAATAAGTCGCAAGGCCTACATTATATGCAAGTAGTGCTGAAATGTCAATGCATCGGCGGTGGATATGAAATCCACATTCACCCTGGCTCACTCAGCCGCATATTTATAGACGAACATATTTCTATAGTCATCTTTTACGCAAAATAGTTGGCAGCCACAATAGGCATTAGTGTTCGTATGCTTAGGTATTACCGGCAAAGGCAGAGGGACGCTAAGATAGCTATTTATGGCTTATTAGCCGTCGTCAACTAGCGTCCCTCTGTGTTTGTCGATACTACCTAAACATAAAATAAAATTCTACTGAAACTTATTTAGTAACAAAACGATGAGTCACCTTGCAAAATACGCTTTGACATATCCAGGCTTGCAAAGGCATCAACCAGGACGTATGCGACCTGAAACGGATCGATGTACGATCACCTACTACTATTAATTTTCTTACCTTCATTGATGAATGCTCTAGCTGGCGTACCACCAATAGCAATGCCCGGATAGAACTACAGCGTCCGGTCTATTGCATCGATTCACGAACCACAGATAGCCGTAAATACCAACTCAATAATCAGTTATCTGACGAACAGCAGTATGGCTTATAACTTCCTTATAACTTCCTGCTAAAAATATTTCATTCAAAAACGCCTGTGAAAGTTTACTAAGGCTTGACCAAAACTCACACTTTTATTTTATTTATCTTGGTTGCTCGTCAATTGCTTGAGAAGTAAATAGCCCATAATCGGATTAACAAGACCTAAATGAATGTACTTCCTCGACCCATTGCGGTGACAGTTGCCTATTTTTTGACATCCAATGAGCGTTTGCTCATCTTAGGGAGTGTCTGAAGACAAACGTCTGCTGAATTTCGGGTGTTATCGAGCGTATTTTCCAAGCACGCAGAAGAAATCGGACTGGTGAGTGTGTCATCGCATACTTCCTAGACGTGATCAGTATGAATAACGGATGTTCACGAAGGTGTTAACAATTTATTTTTAGTTAATAATAGCCTACAGTCCGCATTAAAATAAATATGTTTAATTGGTGGGGTGATTGCTGAAAGGAAACTCCTGGATGTTAGTCATTTTTATGGAGCTGGAATTACTCAGTACACGTTATTGCTCTCGGAGCAGTTAATGTTAACAATGGCAGCGGCAAAGAAG